TTTTTCTAGTCCGTTGAGTTTTGTTGTTGAGAGAGAGAGAGTCCACGTGCAACTCATGCCTCAGAGTCCTTGAAGGTACTGCAGTATTCCATTTCAGGGAAGAAAGAAAACGACGACGACAGCAAGTACGTTCAACAACTTGAAAAAAAAAATTTTCTTGCACAGCAATCGAAATATCGCATGTCGGAAGCCAAATTTGACACAGGATCTTAAATTTTCTCTAGAATGGGTGATCAAGCGTCGCTCAGTCTTTCAATCCGAAGTATAGGATCTGTTATCCGAACCGAAAATTTGTGAACGCCGCGTCAGTTGCGCGAAATATACTGCATACGTTATTATATGGAAGCGTCTGTTAACCGGGGTATATTTTTTGTAAAGTACTGTTCAAATATATACACGACCACAGAATTCCTGCTTGGCACGCTTCACACGACACCCCACCAAGAACAACAGCCAAATAATTGACGGTTACTAATTATAAGGAACGGGAGAAGCATAACGCGTAAGAATTAACCGCGCGCAGGTTTTTCGGCATTTTTGTGGGTATTCAATGCCAGAAACGAGATACCGAATTCCGTACGCATTTATACACGCGGTATGCTAGCTGAATCGCTCACACTCACTCACTCACCATCACGCAGCTTTCAACAAGGTCCTATGCAATACTGTACAGTACAATAAGATGCCTGTGACAGGGCATCAACGTCTTTTAGCCGGTTCTTTTTCGCGGTCACTCCCGCGCGCATTCACCACCGCGAGTACACTGTTCTAACGATCTGAGGAAGAGTGGTGCTCAAGTGGAGGCATGAAGTGGTAGGAAGGGACGAAGGCCGTGCACCACAGTCGTGGAAGTGTTCCACTTCGGAGGGGGGATGGAGCGCAACTGCGCACGGACGGCTGGCAGCACAGAGAGGGGGGAGCAAGGGGCTCCTCTCGGTTTCCTCCCATTCACTTACGGGGACCCATATGCGCATGCGGGCCCTTGGAAGGGGCGTTCCGAAAATATTCAACACACTTACATATAGGACATCAACTTGAGAATTGCAGATCACACCTTATGTCACATGCCTCCATGAACTTGACCCCAAAAAAAAGTATCTTCTTCAGGTATATTCCTGAATCAGTAGTCAACCCTCAATTTATTGCCAAGAAATGGAGAGATTCTTCTGTACAGCAGTGGCCCTCAATACAAAACTGGTGGTGAGCAATATGGCAAGGATAGTCTTTGACTCTTTGCAGGCCACAAGAAAACAAATATGGCTTTACAAAAAAGGAGAAGGTTCAGAAAAATTTACACTTTCTGCTTCTTTTTACAGTGCAAGTTATTATCAAATTGATTTACCAAGAATTTTGAGAATTTTTTAAGAGTTGGATTGACCTGCATGTTTTCAACATTAAAGCAGCTGTTGGCTGGTAGGTCGACCGTCTTGGGCCAGACAGGAATGCTCCGTGGGCCAGATCCTGCCCATGAGTCATATCTTAGGCACTACTGCTCTTTATTGGTGTTGATACAGTAAATAAACTCAAGTGAAAGCTTGTTACAACAAAATCCAATGTAATCCAAAAACATTTTTATGGAAAAAACTTTTATACTGTGATGGGATTCCCATAAAAGCTGTGGCAATTTATTCCAGAATAAATTGCCAGAATAAATGATGTTCATTTCTTCAAACCTAACTTTTTGAGTGAAAAAGTCAACATACCTGGAAAAAAATTTCAGAAGAATAACACACTTCTTGCAGCAGGAGATAATTTCTTTAGAGGAATACATTTGTTTAAAAGTTACTTGTATTCTTTTAAGTCTTGTCATAAACAACTTGAGTTAAGACGTTAAAGTACTATAAATATATAAAATTGTAAAATAAATATTTCAAAAACAACTTTGGAATTTATTAAACTAAGATTTAGATAAAATTGCGTATGTAGTTACGACCGAATTTGATCTGTACACCGATACAATGGTTCAATGCGGGATAAACGCCCTCCACGCCAAAAATCTCTACAAGCACATGCATGAAATATTTTTTTCCTGAAGCCCCACGAAAGTTCGGATGAAATGACGAAGGGAAAAAAATAAATTTCCGCCGACTTGCTTTCGCATTTGATGGGCGGTCGTTCGGAAGGTCGAGCAATTTCGGGACGGGACCAACTTCTCATGATTCCTAGGTCACGAACCCCGGGTTCAGGAAAAACATCGGCCTCTTTCGGATCTGAGTTGAGGGGCAATTTCGCAATTCGGAAAATGCAGCAAATAAAATTGTGTCTAAGAGAAGTTTCGTTTCTTGTAATTTATTTTGGAGTCATTTTATCTTGCTTGCTTTCTTTTGGTCAATCCTCCCTGACCTTTTCTCTACCGCGGCTTTTTCTTGCAGCGCCTTCTGACAAATCGAAGTAATTCACACGCGTAGGTTCATCATAATTTGATTCGTCGCTTGTACAGCATTTAGTTATATCTTAATTAAATTCCACCGACATCCTCATTTACCCTATTTAATCGCGTATCAAGTCCCCTTGAATAAGACTCACAACTTGTTTTTTCAGCTAAAATTTACGATAAAAATTTTTAACACCCACATAAGACGCACACCTGAGATTCAAGTTCCCAAATTCATGCCGTAATTTAAAATCTACATGGGGTAAAAATCCAAGTACAAGCTCAATTAGAAGTTGACTGCAATGGTGATGTTTTTCTTATGTGACACAGATAATCATCGAAAAACAAATTTAAGCTTCGTTTAAAATTCTTCCCCCAAAACACCTGGACAATTTTGAGGTTTCTTTTTTCCGCGGGGGCAACGATTCAAACTGATGCGATATCAATCCGCCGAAAATCACGCTGCACAGGCAAACAAAGTACTATACTGTAAAGTACAGTACAGTAATGATCCAGTAACTATAGTGAGTGTGCAAACTTGAGGGAAAACTTCAAGGACATCGGTCTTCTCCTGACCCCCCTTTTTTGTGCGTGCTCTTTTGAATTTACGAAGCGGCGGTTACCGGAGGTGGGACGGAAAATTCCCTGGAGATAAAGTGGAAATGTGCTCGAACATTTATTTGCATTAATTCTGGGAATATAATTTCCCAAAATTAACGGATTCACAAACATACTGCGCAAAAAAATAAAGGAAAAAATAATGAAAATGATAATTGTCGTGTCAGGCAGGTAAAATACAAAGCATCAAGACGAAAAATTATTCGTTACAAAAATCAACCGAGCAGAAATAAATGCCATCTATGAGTGACTTCATGAACACTGCAAGCTTCTGGATAAGGATTTCAATGTTGAAAAGGGTGTAGGAAGACAACATACTTCAATATACTTGAGTCCACATTTGAAGTGAGTAGTTTTTTTCTCACTACTTGAACTTATAGAATTCATAATGTTTTATTCTTGCTGTTTCATGAGTGGTATAGTGGTTGCTTGAAAGGATTTTTTATACAAGGAGAACATATGAATTTAGTTCTACAGTAAATATAGTTCACTTGCCTAAGGGGAAATTTTTAATGAATTCGAAGGTTTCCCGTCACTGTTGATTTGTGATAATCACTCTCTCAAACAAAGTCAGAAAAGAATAATTTTCTATCTACAAATTAATTCCTTTAATGTGGCACCTTTTCAAAGGCACAAAGCTGTGAATGCACAAAAAAATGCATGACCTATTTTGCAATAAACCTTTATATTAAAACAAGCTATTCATTCGTTTACATGCAAAAAACACTGAGACATTAAGACAAAATGAGTGCAATACCCAAGTACATTCAAAACATCAATAAAGTAGAAGTAGTAATGTTACAAACATATAAGTATGCACCCAAAATTTGTAGCTAATTTGAGGAGATAAATATGTACCTCATGCAAAAGCGACATCTATACACAAATAACAATATACATGATACCTGAAAATCTGCTTCGCTGGAATAGACGTCAGTCTTATACGTACAGTAATTGATTTAAGCTTAGGTAACAGTTCATTCACACCACGAACAAATGAAAAGTTGAATGGTGGTCCAAATCAAAATAATTTATGTTCTCTTGTGCATGGAGAAAATGTTTGTTTTATCCAATTCATTCAAGATTATTTTACCCATTGAATGCATGCTAGCTGAAGGTTCCAATATATTGATACATTCAATTATTGATGCATCTGAAAATTAATTCCTCAAATGTGACACCATTATTCCAAAGGCATAATGCTACAGTAGTAAATGTGAATAAATTGCAACAGTAATAAATTTCTGGTCCCTTGAACTTTGACTCTGAGAGTTAATTTTAACTGTATATGCATCACAATCTGGAAGATCTTGACAATGAACTGTACAAGTATTTATGAAGTTTGTTGCTCATTTTATTCTGATTTGCATGTTTTTTACATTTTGTTAGTAAGGTTTAGAAGATTTTTCCCATGAAATGGAGAGTTGAGTTTTCACCCAAAAAGTTGATTGAAATACATCATATAAATGAACTTCAGCATTTTAATTTGTTAGATTTTGATGATCAAACTCAGAGGGAAACATGCATTCAGAATTTTTAGGATTCTAGGTAGCTTCAACTATTACATTTAGAAACATTTATTCAGGAATCAAGAGCAAAGTCATATACATTTTCAAGAAGAATTGTCCATGTACAGTATAGGTAACAATGTGAAATTCTAATCTTCCTCATAGTCCTGTCTGTCCATTCCATGGAGAAGATGACATATCATCATCATTGAGTATATTACAGCAGCAGGGGGGCATGCATAATACAATACTATATTCAGTTCATGCACACCACTGGTAATTGCATGTATAATAAGGGGCTCAAATCAACAGGATTGCGCTTTGTTATTTGGTTATTCAAATTGTTATTTATGGTATTAAAAATGTTCTGATGCGTGAACGGTTATTTTTTGTCCCTTTGGAGTCTCATTAGATAGTACACCACCAAACATTGCATTTGAAGTCGCCCGTTGATGGCTCTGGGAGAGGTTGGCGCTCCCTGGGGCGGCGTGGAAGAGGTGGCACTGTGGGAAGCTGGTCTGATTTGAAGCGAAGTGTGGCATGACGAAATTCTGTGCGGTTGGTTTGGGAATGTGCGCATTCGTTCGTGAAAATGAGAAAAAGAGTGCTGGTGCGCGGTGCAGTTGATTCTATGGATTGTGCCAAATAAGGTGTGTGGTGTGCGAATTACGTGTTACAGTTGAATGAGCTACAGAGTTCTCCGTCTGTAGTACTGTAGAAGTTTGTCAGATTCAGTAAAAGTTCTTCAAAATCAGCTCCAGGCGCTCTGTACTCGTGTACCTTGCCGAGACTCCGATTGCCTCATGAGTTTTTGACAATTAAGGCTTTCATGTGATTTTGTGATGGCGCATTGGTTTCATCGAAACCCACTGAAAGCCACGAGTGTGTCAAACTTCGAATTGAAGCTTGTTACAGCCGACACACAGGCAATCCATCTCTGCTCGTGAGTTCATCGCTTCACATTTACAAGAATTCGTAGTTATCAATTTTCTCGGAATTTTCAGGGAATTGAGATCCGCTCGTTCTGCGCTGCTGAATCTCTTGCCGGATCCGAATGAATCCTGTAGTGCGATTGAAGGGGCGCTTCGAAAATATTTAGAGTTATTTGTAGGTTTCATTGAAATGCCGGACCAAGATTATGGACTGGGCGATAAATTGCGGTGGTCTTTGAGATTTCGATGGACCAACAGTATGCTTGGCAGCGCTCCTGAGTACGGTTTTGCCACCTTTTTCGTTTCCATTTTCGTAATTTAATTTGTTTCTTCCAGGGCTAGAAATGATGCTATGTTTGAAGCAGCTTCGATTATCTTGAACGTAGCCATGTGGTACATGAAATGTGCGGCTCGTATCGCCGCCAAAGAAGCGTAAGTGCGACTGACTTTCAAATTTCTTACAATTATATGATTTATCTTTTTTATAATTGATTCGTCAGAATCACAATGGATGAAGCTAAAGTTGTACACAGTACTTTACGGAAAGCTTCCGGTTTGTTTCACTTCGTGGAAAGTGACATGATTCGCCATTTGCGAGGAACTAATGCAATTCCAGGCTCCGATCTCGATCCACGAGTACTTGCAGCCTACTTAAACCAGTGTACCGCAGAAGCCCAAGAAGGTAAGCACAGAGAGACGTTGTTTTTCGGAGTTTCCTGCATGTTCAATCTGTGATTCACATTTTCAGTGACAATTGCAAGGGCAATAGAACTGAAGCATGCACCTTCTCTCGTGTCTGCTTTGGCTCATGAAACGCATCAGCTGTTTTTGAAAGCTGGTTCTTCCCTCGGTTCTTTGGATCAGACTATTTTTGGACAATGGGCTACTTATCTAAGGCTGAAATCTTTGATATATCTTGCATTGGTAACTTGCTGATACATTTTGCGAAGAGTAAAGAAATTACTGCTTACTCTTTCTTTGCAGGCCTACAATTACGCAGGAGAAAAGTTACTGTCAGATGACAAAGGTGGTCTAGCCGTTCGTAGTCTTCGAGAAAGCCAGAAAAGTATGTATTATCTGTGCTAACGCCTTTTATTCATTTCATTCAAGGTTTTTATTTTTCTTTCCCGAGAAATCGCTGAGGCAACTGAAGCATGTAAATTGTACTCGAAAGTGAAAGGAGTTGGTACCACTACAGTTGCAAAACCTGTTCAGCATATTTTCTTCAGGAATTTAAATTCTCGAATCACGAGAACACTTGAGAAATGTGAACGTGAAAATGGCTTGATGTGAGCTGAGTTCTAAATTGATATTTCTGTGGCTCTGGAAGTGTCTTGATCTAATTTCGGAATTGTAGTTACCACGAGAAGATTCCGTATGATCCTCCTGAACTGGAGCTGAAAGCCACCTACGGATTGGTTGCTCCAGAGGCTTTTATTTTGCCACCTGTGTCCCCTTTATGGACGCCTTTTGTTTATCGAGCGGTGGACATTTCCAAGATTGCGCCGAATGAGGTATAATTCCAAGTTCATTGTAAATGTATTATTTGGATTAAAGTTACGTGTCGTGTTGTAAATCTATTTTAGAAACCAGCCAAACCTGAAGCCAATATTGAGCCTGTGAAAGAAGTTCCAGTAGACGTGAATTCCAAGGACCCCCAGAACGAAAGTGGATGCGTTCTGACGTGATTTAGAGGGTATTTTAAGTAATTTTTTTCAAAATTTATCAAGGAAGGAAAAGGAATGATTTGTCTTTTGTGATCGTGAAACATCTTGGGTTATTTGCGTGTGAGGATATTTTTGTAATCGGATTCAGTTCATTTTTCTTGTGTTCTGGTCATTTTACGGATGTCATTTTTCACGTATTTTCTTTTGCGGGGATCCTCGTAACTTGACACGCAATGGTACATTAATTTACATGTTTCTACGCCGGATGTCTAGTACTTTCTAGTCTGTGACAAATTGACGTAATGCTTTTTGAGAAAATCGGCTCAGTTCATGAGATAGTTTCACGAAATTTAGTTGAGTTTTGTTGAAGACGCAGTTTTTTTTTTCAAAATATAAGTTACGTAAATACTGTACTGTATTGTGAATTACCTGTCCAAGATTTCCGGTACCTCGACTCGAGATGTATACATGTCGGGCGGGGTACGAGCGTTCGCTGTGGAGTGTGTGGACTTCTTATTTCTGTCGAGGTTAATGCTCTTCTCACGTATTTCTTGGGTTTCATGAAATTGAGTTTGGAATTCAAAATTTTAAATTCCAATTAAACATCCTAAATAGGATGACATTTTCTAAAGAACTAGCAATTTTTAACCATTGTTTCAGTGTGCGAGTCTGGGAAATTCCGTACAGGTAATGATATCGTAATCGTCAATCGTGCGTAGAATGCTAATGAGCGTCGATAGTCAAGGAAAAAAAAAAACGTGGATATACTCTGTCTTGTTTAATAGTGTAATTCTATCGTTGTGTTTGGTTTCGTGCGTACTCGCCATCCTTCTGAAATGATCGTTCTTATTTATGCAGATTGAGATTTTGTACCTTGTCATGTACGAAAGCATCCTGCCACGTGCTGTGAGATGTGCTGTAACTGTTGAAATGACCCGTGTGTGAATGCTGAAACATTCGTAATGGCGGGTAGCATGAGTGGTTTAGTTGTTCGTGATGACTCGGATGAATCTTTCTTGGCGTCGCTGAGAAGCTATTCGATGCAGAATGCTCAAAAAGGAACAAAACAAGTCAAGCGGGGAAAAAGGAGGAGTACCACAGCTGATCGTCCACCCTGGAAAAACGTTTTTGATGATATTACCTCTGCTCCAACTGCACCGGAAAATGACGAAAAGCTCCCTATGAATGTTTCCCGTTTTGAAGGTAGTCCGTTGAATACTGTTGTATGCGAAGCGAGGGCGATAAAAATGTTCATGTATTTGTATGCAGAAGTTCGTGGAAGTTCGCAGAATATTTTTTCTGGCGACGAGCGCAGTGAAAGATTGGCCTCTTTAATAGCACAGACAAGAAAGTTGCGTGAAGCTGGCGATGGCCAAGAAGCTTTTGAAGAAAATCAAAAACTTGGCAAAGTCGAGAGCAAAGGATTAAATCGTATCCAGCAATTGAAGAGGGAGGTTGAATGTTTACGTGCGCAGCGACTCCACAAGTTCGAAGGTAATTAGATTTAAAAGTTCCAGCATCAAATATTTGTCATTCGTAGGAAATGGAAAACGTAAGAGAGAATCTTTTTCAGCTGAGAAAAGCCGCCAGGAGTTCAAATGTAACCATATGCTTCGAAAATCTTACGAAGTTCGGGAAGTTAACGAATTTATAAAGAAGCAAAGAGCACGTCGACGAGTATCTGAGGAGAAAGCGACGGAAGAAGCGAGAATGGAACGCATGAAAAAAGCTCAGAAATTACGCGAACTTCAGGAAAAGGCTGCGAGTGTTCGTCGTGCCAGTTGCGTACCACAGGTTTGTTAGCTCTTTTTCCGCGATGTGTTTGTTTCATTCAGGAACAATTTATTGCGTTTTCCTCTGGTAAGTTCAGCAATTTAATAACTTAATTTTCTGAAAAACGCAGAGCTCTCCTTGTGCGGACCGTCGAATGTATTCAGAACCTCAAACCATAAAACGAAGCGCTTCTGTACCGACACGTCCGGAAAATTCGGAATACGATGGCAATAAACCAATTTCACGTTGGGGCGAAAATCTGCTTCTAAGCGACGAACGGATAAGAAATCTTGCCACCGCTTTGTCCACGAGGCTCGAGGAAGAAGGTGCTGCGTATTTGCAGAAACTTCGACTCTTCTACGACTTGAAGAAAGCCGCTCGTGTTAAGAAGTCCCCTGTCTTGAACGACATTAATGTTCGTCGACAAAAAAGATCGAGCGAAAATGATCCATCTGACCGGGAAGGATTAGTGGTCGACATGCCGCCGGAGGGAAGAGTGTTTTTTTCAGGCATGGATCCAGAATTGAGTGCCGGCGAACTTTCAGACGACTCAGAAGTAAGGAAAATGATCTCCATATTTTTTGCTAATTGCTCTACATGCAATCTTTTTTCTTACATGCTCACACAGCTTCCGTTCAATTTTAATTCGCACAGTATATTTTTAGTTGGCTTTAGTTATTGAAATGGTATTCAACTACCATGGTGTTTTTCGAACAGACTGGTGCCGACGTCAGCAATATGGCTGAGGAGATTGTTGAGTTGAAGCTATCGAATGCTGAAAATCTCGGAGAAGTTCAACGATCTTCATACCCCCGAAGTCCTCCGGATACCGTCGAAAAAGTTCTTCAGTCGGCGCCTGGGATGAACAGTTATCCTTCTGAACTTCGAAAGACTGCACAAGCGACCGCAAAAGCGTCACCCGAACTCTCTGATGCCGAGAAGAAGTCCAAGACGACAGCAGTTAACGGCCTTCACTACATCGATGGCACACACCTAAGGCGTGCGCTCTTGTCCACTTTGACGAAAGCTGATGATGGTAAAATTTTAGCTGGAAAATCGGATTTCGGGGTAATTGAAGCATTGAAGTGCAAATTGAGAATAAACCCCCGTGAGGTGAATTTAGCCGGCGAGTTTCGCATTCCGTTGAACTCTCACCGAGGGAGTGCTGATGCTGCAACGCAGCATAACGACGCTCTTGTGGCGTCGAAAGGTGTGCAAGCATGTGAAACAGTGGATGCGGGTGTGGAAACATCTGGAGGTTCTCCATATTATGAAGACAAAGCGTTACAAACTTCTTTTCTTCCGTCACCTGTGGTGAAGGACGCTGTTTGTTCCACGGACGAACCAAGTATTTCATTGGATGTAAAGCGCAGTGACAGTGTCTTTGCCCGTGTTCACACAATGAACGCCTCTGCTCGTCAAGTAAACCCGGAGAAACATTCTTTGAATATGGCTTCAGCGCCTTTGGGTGATACAAGTATCGATGAACCTACTGATGCATCTACGGTTAGTTCTTGATTAGCCAGCTATGGAATATTCAGGCTGCGTTAACTGAAATATTGCTATCTAGAGATTCTATATTGATAATTGATGTTGAAACTCCCTACTTCCGTGAGCTCCACGTTATTTTATGTGATGAGAATATCCCGAAAAGACTCGATTCGTACAAGATTGATCAATGGTGCTTTTACTGCTTTCCTTATTTATAGGTCTATAAATCGAAATTATCAGAAACAGTTCATACATTTCTGGGTGACCAGAAAAGAATGGTTCAGCTAAATTTATAAATCGCAGTAAATCAGGATGATTTGATGAAAAATGCCGGCGACTTGCAACCGTGAATTTTTATAATTAAGAATCCGAGCGAAACCTCGTAGTATGCAGTTGAGATTAAGATCAGTTGCTCTTTACCATATTTGTTTCCTCGTGTAGCCATTTGAAACATACTTTTTCAGAGTGGCATTCTGGGGTATGCCCCGCGAACTTTGGATATGAAATTTCGCACTGAGCTGGCTTATCTCGAAACCCTCGAGGAATCCATTCGACAGCTTGGTGAGCTGTATCGGATCAGTTCTGTTGCCGGTACCCAACAGGATAATCTGGTTCTTGCAGAAATCGTCAAGGTTTGTGGATCTCATTTCCGACGCAGTCGCGATGTGAACAAATTTTTGAGGAGTTCTGTTTTTTTTTTTCCTTTTTCATTCTCATTTTTTTTTTCGGGCGAATTAATGCTTGTCGGTTTTTACCACTTTTGATATGTCTTGAACCAATTTTATGGAAGAAGCAGAAATTCCAAACTTTTTGGTACACCTTCTGAGAACGAACGTATACTGTAGTAGCGCCATGTCTATGAGTAACCGTTTTCCAACGTGTTGAATACGAGGGTTGGTTCATCAAAGATGATAAACTGCCACTTGCCGTCATCAGAGGCAGATGCATTTTTTTTGCTCTTCAATCCTTAATTGGTTTCTAATAAATTGTTCATTGACTACTCAGCTGCAGAAGGAAACAAGAAATAGGCCTGGATCACAGTGAATCCCCTACACTGAAGTGCTCTGAAGTGAAGTTTAATTGATAAAGAGCAGCTGAATGCGCACTTGCATGCCTTATGCTCTATGACTGTGGGGGGTTATGAGGTAAACTTCACTTCAGTGAAGGGGATTCTCTGTTATCCAGGTCTTTTTTTTCTTTTCTTCTGCAGTTGAGTAGTCAATGAAGAATGTATTAGACACCAATGAAAAATTGAAGAGCAAAAGAAAAATTGCATCCACCTCCAATGACGGCAAGTGGCCGTTTATCAACTTTTACGAACCAAACCTCGTATTTATGGTATCTGATGGTTTGCGTCAAATTTGTAGTTACGACAGCAGGAGCTGTTGCCATTGCTGAAGGCAGAGGAGCAAAATCGACAATCCGAAGAGCAGAGAAAAGTTGCTTTGGATGCCGAAACGCGAGCCATTCAGCAGACCCTAGAAACTGTTCGCCGGGAAACGCATGCCTTGATTGCACAATCGACTGAAAAAATGACAGAAACCCAAGCTCAAATGGCGCAAATTGCTTCGGATGTCGTGAAAGAAATCACAAAAATTTCTCGAGTTCCTCAGACGATGGATCATGATCTCACATCTGCTGCTGTCTCGGCAGCGATTGAAACGGCCATTAAGCAGGTATTAATTTTTGCATAGATTCAACGCGTCAGGATTCCGAGAATGAAGACATTTAATTTTCTGATTTCTGCGCTTTTTGAATTATGATAAAAAAGAGGATGGTTTAATGCATTCAAAGAATTTACTGCTCTTTTTTGCACTTGAGGAATCGAAAAATTTGCTTTAGCTGAGAAAAAGAAAGTGTGCGATTCCGAAGGTTTTTAAATTGGGATTATGAAATGGAATTCCAGATTAAAAAGACTCACAAGTTGGTGCATGGCCAGTCCTCGGTGTCGTCTCTTTCCGAAGAATCGACCATCACTTCTCAGGGAGATGACTCCAAGTTGTGTTCTCGAATCGAAGAGAAAACGAATAATGGCATGGAAGCGAGAAAATCACCGACAAACGGTTTTGAGATTGAGCTCTCTCACATGCCTGCAACCCGAAAAGAGGATGGCAGTATTGCAGAAGAAATTTCAGAAGGTTTGCATTTTATTTATTTGGGGGGTGAGGCAATTGAATTTCGTCAAGCCCGAACCATTCACTTTTTTCCATGCAGCGTACTCAAGTGATTTCGAGCCAATCACGAATGAAGTGTCTGCATCGGAAAATCCTCCAGTAGCAGTGCTAGGTCAATCTACCGAAACTCAAAGTGGATTCCGTCGACACGCCATCCAGCTCGGGATCAAGAAGCCAGGTAACGATATTTACACAGTTGGTAGTGCACTGGTGTCCACGGATTCCCCAAGTACACAGTCCTTCGATGACATCAACCTGGCCATGGTGTGTTTGTGTTGCATTGTACACTATTTACAGTTCCCAGTTGGAATTGAAAAGTTTTATTCAGGTGAAGCACCAGCTGGCTGCTGTGGAATTGCGAGCAAGACAACAGAAATCAATGCTGAAGATGAAAGAAATTAACATCGCTGCCTCTGCTCGTTCTGAGATGGGCGATATCGAGAATAAACGAAAGTATGTAAAAATAAAGATTTTTTGCTGCAGCGTGATGAAAAATAGTGATCGCGCTCATTTCTTTAGCGATGCTGAATTATCTGGGGATAGAAGGACTCTTGCTGCTTTGAAGAAACGCAAGGAACTACTAGAGGAACGCATCAAAATGGAGAAATCTCGTATGATTCGCTTGAAAGAGGAAGTTGCAGCAGAAAACAAACGAGAACGTCTAGCACTTCTGGAACGGCAAGAACGGATAATCAAATTGAGAGAGCAATCCAAGGTGATTTCCCTTGTTTCAATGCATCACAGTATTCGTATTTTGATAATTTTATTTTCCTTTAGATTAAATATGAAAAATGTGACACAAGGGTATTGAAAATACGTGAACGCGCACCAGATCGAAAGAAATGATTTTAATGCTGACTGAGGTTCAAAGCCTTATCAAATTTTTTGTAAAAAGTAAGAACCACCTCGGGGGTTTTTCTCCCGACTAATTGTTTTTAATTTTCTCTTATTTAATTTAAATTTGGAATTTAAAGTTTGGAGGCAGTTTCTTGATTAAATGCGTTTCAGAATTTTTCTTCGTCCCGCAGTTGTTTTCTTGATCTCGTCCGCTCTTCACTTTCCTGTCACATCCTGTTTACGGGACGTTGGAAGCTCTGTTTATCTGGCGTAGATAACATTCTTTATTTTGCCTCTCTGGCGCATAATTTTTCTTTTCAGAGTGCCGTAGTTCTGAGTGAAAGCAGAAAGCAGTCCGTCGCTTCCATCGCTGCAGCTGACAACGTGATTAGTGGAGATAGCGACAAAGAAAATCAAGAGACGGCAGGAAACCTGGAAATTAAAATTAACTCCGAGGAAAAACAATCGTCTTCTGTCACTCCTCCAGAAGAAAACACCCTTTCCGGTGTCGCGTCTTCGAAGCTGGAATCGGTGCCGGAAACTTTGATTGTGCCTAGACATTCACGCAGTCATTCGGACGATTCGAAAGCACGCCAGGGATTTTTACTGCCAAATTTATCCCGCGGTGACTTGGATCGATCCTTCAGTGCTTCCCAGCTGCCGATGTTGGAAAGAAATTACAGAAACTCTGCGCATTTCCGAAGTAGAAAAGGGCCCTCTCATAACAATTCAAGTTCTTCTGAGTCGACTCTTACTGATCAAGATGATCCATTGGGAAGGAAAGCGTGGAGGAGCCTGAAGAGATACGAAGCTAATAAGAGGTACAGTAGTTTTCGTACAAATCTGAGCGGTTATTCGAACTAAGGATTTTGAATTGCTATTGTCGTTCCGCCGAACTAGACATTTTCACAATACAGTACATATTTAAACGAGTGAAGGCCGCAACTGAATTTTGAGCTGTGATTTTTGACGAGAAAATGGCGTAGGCAAAAAAACCTTATATTTTCGGGAAATTGCCGCTTTTATACGATTAAAGTTTAGTAATTTTCCGGAAAATTTATCCGAAAAAGTGGCGTTTGACAGCTTTGTTCTGTAAAAAAGGCTTCGCGAAAACGAAATACTCCTGAAAGGACTTGAAGCTTCAAAGGATGGATGTAGATTTGGATTGTTGAAACCAAATTTTTAGGGTAATTTGATTCCTGGCATAATTTCAAGGATTTTCAGCGCCCGAATTTCCTGGGGCATTTCGTATACAGGTTTGGGATAAACCCGCGTAAATACCGCGTGTCACCTAACAAAATTATGTGATAAATTCTTTCAGACTAGTGAATGAAATTATTTTGCAGATTTTTAAGCAGAAGAGAACAGCAACTTCACGAACGACGAAAAAATGTGGAGGAGTTGCTCGCGTGGCGAACTAGGCTGGAGAAAGAAGAACTGGTTGTTCGGAAGCTGGAAGAGGAAGCTCTGAAGTACAAGGCTGCAGCACAAGTTTCATCCCATGAAACCTCAGTTGTTGATCGGGTGGAACAAAGTGATTACATTTTTTACTTTGTCTTTTCTAAATTCCTTAGATTTTTCTTATTTAATCGTTCAGATCTGTGCAAAGGCGAAGAAGCTCGGAATCAGAAGCGTTCAATCTCCGCTCATGATTCTGTGGACGCGGATGTTCTTGATCATCCTGTGACTGAGTCATCGATTCCCGAAGAATTGGAAGATGACCACAGTGCTGTGCAGGGAATAGAAATTGACGCATCCATTCCTGAAAAGTATGTTCTATTATCAGATCAAATTTAATGTTCTTTGTTTAAACTTATATTTTGTTGAAAGCCAGTCGAGGGTTTATCTCTATGTGAATATCCGTTTTTGCCGTTTCGGAAATGCTAGACATTTTCGTTTGTCCTCGGCTGCAATTTCCTCTTTTAAGCTGATATTTGGAGCTTTCTCCATTTTGATGCGTTTTCAAGTGTTATACTGTAGTCCCTTCCGTTTCTTCAAGTTAACGAGTTTCCTTCTGTGTCCAGACAATGTGACATTCGTAAAGAAATAAGTGTCAATGCTGTAGCCTTCATCTAGTATCTAACTTTCGCAGAAGTTCAACTTTTCCCATTCCTCGTTTATTTTCAATCTCAATACGGCCGAATTTTGTTCTCCCCTAGGAGTGATGTCAGTGCAGCTGAAGTCGATTCCCAGGAGCTGATCGAATCAGAAGTAGATGGGATTCGTGCAGACGTGAGTGAAGAGCGATATGTGCTTCACGATTCCCAGTCGGAACAAATAACCGAGGAAAGTGCCGAGGAAACTCGACAGAAACGTTTACGTGAAAAGTTTCGTAGCAAAGCTGGTATGATTGTTTCAACACCATTATCTCCGAGAACTACGCGTCCGAAAAGGAGGTTGTCCAGTGGGTCGGATGACAGCTTTTCGCACACTCAAACTGGTAATTATGATTTTTAAGTAGCGTCGGACAGGTCAGCATTTGCCGGATAAATATTGCAATCTGTTGCCTTGCTGTGAAAGGTTTGTGTGAGTTTTCATATCTGCTTTGGTTGCTTCAGAAACTTCAGATGTCGGCAGTGATGCTGAAGGAAGGATAATAGCGTTACAAGAAGAATTGAAACGCCGTCATCGGGAAGTTGAAAGACTGAAAAAAGAAGCCAAACGTCGTTACCGGGAGAAATTGCGCGTCAAAGAGCAAGCTCTCAAAAAACAGATTGAGGCAAGTTCACTGTGGTGTGAATTTTGAAGGCCTTCAATAAATTTTTATTTCTAACTTTAGAATTACAACAATTTCATCGCTCAAACCAAAAGAGAGCTAGAGCAGGAACTGAGTGACGGAGACCTGAGAGTTGGCAGTGTGAAGCCACAAATCAAGAAGCCGAAATACCGTCAAAAGGACTTGGGAGCCTCAGGAATCAATGTGATCCCTAATGCAGAATCGTCTGCCAGCGTCCATGATGAACAGGCATTGGAAATATCCGAAGAATGCGATTCAGGAAGTGGAAAATTTGTTGAGAATGAACCCATTAGTTTGGGAGAAGCTGCGAGCCAGTCTTACTCTGCTGCCTTCGAAAGTTCTCTCAGTGGGGATGACCAATCCTGTGTGAGCGTTGCTACTTTGGAGGTGAGTCACTGCATTGGAAAACTGTCATTGGCATGGCAATTTTTATCCGCAACTTTGAATTGAATTTGACCTCTCAGGAATTATCGAAATGATATAAAATCGCTCTTTTTTCAGGCTGAAACGGAAAATGAGATGATTCTGACAGAATCTGAAAGTTCATCTGGATCACAGATCAAGAAGTCCGAGTCAATCGTTGACAATAGTGAGGAATTAGAATCCGAAAAAATAGAAACTATTGAAACGGAAAGCGAGAAGGAATTTTCGGACGAAACAGATGATGGCCAAGTGCCTTCGCCTGTTCTTGAAGATCTCTCGCGGCGGAGTTCAGCCAGCACGGATACGATCGTTCTTAGCCCTCTTAAAACTCCCGTTTCTTTGACCGGGAACGTTTTATCCCCCGAAGAAAAAGATGTTGCGGGAGAATTTCCCATCACTGAATGGCCCGCCGAAAACACACACATCGAATTGGAGGAAACTCAAGAAAGCAACGAAGGGTCTGATGCGATTGCGTTCGAAGATACAGATGAAAATCGCGATGAGCCGTCGTCTACTCTCGATAACTTACAGGTGGATGAGAATTGCAAAAATCCATGGTTAGATACTTCCGTAATGGCCCCGGAACTTGCGACCAGGAATCCGGGCCAGCATCTCCCGAAGGACAAGATTAAATTTGTCGATGAAACTGTTGAGTTGCTCCTTGCGTCGATGATGAAGTCTTTTTTTGACGATCCAGTTCAACTAAAGCCTTCAAATCTGCCTGTGCGGAATGAAGATCGTCCGAATTTTACTTGTGCTCTCGAAGAGATTTTGGAGAAACCGGAAGGATCAGTATTTCCTCTATCAGAGATTGAAGATGTAGATGGTGGTTTCACCGAGTTAGACGTCAAGGAAAAATTGGCTGGCGAGTACGCGGATGCAATCCTGAGTGATCTTGCGAAAGAAATTGTCGATGAAATTGCTGCAATTAAAGAAACGAAGTCCGAGCTTGACATCGTAAGACCACCCCGACCGTCTACTTCACCTACACCTCCTGTCTTGGTATTTCCATTGACTGATGCTGTTGCCGCTGCCCTGGATCGAGCAGTTTCACCTGTTACTCGTGAGTTAATGATCAAGCTTTACTGATCATGGAAATATTTTGGATTGTATTTTATCTAGAAAGCCAATAACAAGTTCAATAAGTTGTTAATGATGCCAAGTGGTTACATGTACTGTACATATGCAAGAGTGATATCGCAGCAGCTTTAGCGCTCAAAAATGAATGCATTTCGTTGAGGATTTTACTGGATGTTCGAGATTTTATTCGATCAAGATGAGCATTGCGATGAGTTTACCTTCCGATTGGTTTCCTAGAACCGAGTGGAGATCTGGATGTATCGGTGGACCTCCTTGCGCCTCTTTCCCCGGGACATCTCTTACCTGTTGGGCGAGTTCGACAGTGTTCTGTAAGAATTGATGATTTTTTTTCCTCTCTTCGAATGCCATTTTTCGTGTTATCAATTTTGATATTTTTCATAATTCGTGAATTTATAACATTTTCAACCTTATTCAAGGTCGACGACATGCAACTCACGTTTTCGCCTAAAAAAGGGAATTGGAATGAAAACGACTTCGTTATGCTGAGCAAACAAAGAGAGCATGAGAAGCTAAAAGAAAAGCAGGCCCAAATTGAACATGAGGTAAATTTAATTTCCTCATTGATCCGCATGTTAGTTTTTGTTTTGGGATTGACATTTTTTTCCGCCTGCAGATAAAAGAACTAGAAGCATTGCAGCAAATGCAACAGTTGCAAGAACAAGCTGCTCCTTTTTACCTTCGAGAGATCCCCAACAAACCTCCACCTCCTTATACACCCCCGAAACAAAATGGATCATCAACTGGATCCCCGCGAAGTCGTGGTCATCGTCATTTGAATACAGGCCTTCGACTATCAAAATCCGATCTGGAAAGATTGGCATTGGAAGCATGTCGGGTCAGTTACGATCAAGACGTATATTTTAAATTAAATTCCCAAAATTTCGCTCATTTTTCTCCGATTATTTCAATTCTATTGCTTACGTCTCCAAAAGCACAAAATATTAGTTCTTCGGTTTTAATGATTGCTTGAAAAATGTTCGTGGATACCTTTTAAAAATTCTTCGAATATAACTTACTATTTAGACGGTCTCACAGTTGATACGTGTGACAAAAATATTAAGCTTTATATACGTATTAACGAGTTTCCAACCCCAAACCTAACGGCACGCCGTCCATATTGGCAGATGCTGTGCATGAACCGAATTCAGTTCAAGACGCAATTCGAAATTTTCAATTCTCTTCTGCCACTTAAGTCAGTGAGCTTGCTTTTGGCAAAGAATTGATTTTGATGGGGATTTTGCATCTCTCTCTCATGTATTTTCCCAAACATCAATCAGGAACACCAAGAAGTTCATTGCCGCTTAAGACAGCAAGAAGCCAATAAATTTTGTCAAGAAATTTATGCATTGAGTGTGCAACGTTAGTTAGTAACAATGCATTCTCTTCTACATGATTCGTTTTTCCTGAAATATTTAATTCGCATGTATTTGATTGTGTTGACAGGTCATTCCAGTTTTTAAAGAAGAGCACGAAACTTACCTGGCGAAAGCGGCAGAAATTGTCTTCAAATGCTATGCTGCTGGAAATGACGTCAGCTCAATGCAACCTCCACCTGAATACTTCGGCCCGAAAGAAGCTGGAGATGATCCTGATACGATTGTGCGTCGCTGTTACATCGAACTCCTTTTTGACTTGGCCAAAGAAACATTAGTTGAGCGGATGAATGCAGCTGTAGTGACCCCGAGACCCGTCTACATGAAGCCGAAATTAGTTCCTCACCGAAGCTGGCTCATGCCCCAAAATGTTGATGTGTTGAAAGATGCTGCCTGTAAGGCGGGTCTTCGGTGGCTAGGCTTTGAGCCGAAGGCAAACCGTGATCGATTTATAGTCGAATGGACCAAAAAGAAGAAAGACAACGTTGATCGTATTCTTGTTGCGGAGTTGCAGCGGGAAGAAGCGGCTTGGACGGATTTTGAAGAGGAGGAAGTATTCATCAAAAACAAGCTAACGAACGTCATTTTCGAAGATCTAGTTGCCGAATTTGTTGAGGAATTGGCAAGTTTGCGATCGTTGAGACGAAAAAGAGTTGCCTACACGAAAACATAGCCTTAATGTTTTTTTTTAGATTAAAGTGTAAAATCCGTCCGAAAATCTAAAGGAAATCATGTGCGATCAAGTTTGCGGTATGCTCGTGCCATTATAATTTCTAGCCTCAGAATCTACTTTCTCGAGATGATTTTGAAACATTTGAAGTGTATTTAGTGCAGCCTGCTCAATTGAATTTGCGATTCTGTACCTAAGGTTCAGTCACCCGTCCATATTTGGCCCTCGAACGAAGACAAATAATTGGTACGACCATCTGAATACGTACTATGGTGGCATTCGTCCGGAGGCATTTTACGCCATCTGACAATAGGAAGTTTTACGTTTTGGTGACGCTATTATTTTGTAGTCGCCGATCTGTTGGTTCGAAAACTGTGCTCAAAGCAGAATAAGAACGAAAGTTTGAAGTTTATATCGAGAGTCCTTCTCAAATGCGGCGTGCCATTATCCTGTTCGATTGTGTTCTGATCTGCTTTTTAAATTTTGTTGATGGTTTATTTGGTCTTCATTGAGATGATTTTGGAGAATTTGTTGTACTTCCGTGATTCACCTTTCGCTTCGTGAAATTCTTTTCTCCTTTTTCGCGTTTTGACGAATGAAATTGGGTATCCTGCGAATATGGTACTGTTTTTGGCAAGAAGCTCGTTGGCATGTCCTTCTATTTATTGAAAGGGTGGGAGTTTATTATGGTAAACCTTTTCTACTGCGGTTCTAAAGTGAAAGTTTCACTTCAGTGATGAAGTGAAATTAAAGGAAATGTGTTTTAGTGATACCTGTACCGAATAATTTGCTGCAAACTCTTGGTGAAATAGTCGGACGAGAGCTTGAGAATTTGCGCTGAACCTCGTTGCTGATGCATGTTCTGCAGATTTTATGGAAGCTTTCATTTATATTCCCACAGAGAAGAGAAGCAATTGAGTGTGCACGAAAACATGTCCGGGGGGAGAGAAGGTGACGTTTTAGTGCCGTACGTAAAGAGAAAGCCGGGTGCCTGCGGAAAATGCGGGTCTGGGTTCTTCCACGCCGAGCTTTGAAGCGTTCCTTGCGCTTTAGCAAACGGTTCCTTGGTTGTTTTCGCAACATGAGTCAGGACCTGTGTGAACCGTTGCTTGAGTCGCCGCCCTCAAAGCCTGGGCCCTACAGTGCGACGGACATCATCCAGATGATAAACATCCGAAATGCGAAGCTGGTTGCGATACTGCTTATAGCTGGCTTCGTTTTCTACCACGGGGCTTTGCACGTGACGTATGGGGCGGATTCGTGCAAATGGCTGCTGTCGGATGGCAGGTTTCAGGGAAACAACGTGTGGCAGTCGTATGGTTGCATGATGCACACTTACACTCCAGCAAATGCTCAGATGTGCATGGAATACCTTTCTTTCCTTCATCAGAAGAACAAGATTGTGTTCGTGGGCGACTCCAGGTTTGTTCATGGGAAAATGCTGAAGAAAGGTTTTTTTCTTGTTATTTTTATTCCCGGTCCGGCTGCGAGTTGACGTCGACTTCTAGACAGGTATTATGATAGAACGCGTTTTTCATTCCATTCTAGAACGCGGGATCTGTACTTTCAATTCTTGCGACACTTCGGATTCAATGAGGATGTGAGCAACTGGAAGCGCGAAGAGCGTCACAAGGATCATACATTTTCTGCACACAATCTGAATCTTGAGGTTCACTTCAAATGGCGACCAATCGTCAACGACTCTTGGATCCAGATGATTGACGAGTTTTATCATGAGGAGCCAACATTGACCATCGCCAGCGCGGGTTCTTGGCAAATGAAGAAGTCAAATGGAAGCGCAGACGGTCTCATGGATTTTAAAGTATCGTTCACGTCGTGGGCAGCAAAGGCTGATGATTACCTGGCAGCTAAACCGAGAGCGAGGTTGATTTGGTCGTTGCAAGATCCCGTAGATGCCGAGAATCTGGAACCTTCTCGTCGAATGGTGACGAACGAATTGATAGACGAGTATAATATGGCTGCAATGGATATTCTCAAAGCAAATCCGAGGATTTGGGTGTGGTCCAGTGCACGTCTCGTAACGCAGGTAGAACGATTGAAAACTTCATGCTTCAAAATTTCATCGAAAAGAAAATCGATTTGGATCTTCCAGTGAATGTTAGCAAAATAAATCATCGAAAGATCGCGGGAAACACGGGGAAAAGTCAATCCATTCAGGGATAAATATTTTTAATGCTCTTTTTTTCATATTCCGACAGTGAAGGCATGAAGTGGTCTGAATTTACAAGTATTTTGTTTTACTTTTGAAGGGTATGATGAGTGGGGGCTCCGTGCACACGGACGGACTACATTTGATCAACGCTCCGAAGAACATCCATGTCCAAATGCTTCTCAATTTGTACTGTAACGACAAAATGAATTACGAAGATGGCACGTGTTGCAGGTGATTTTTAAGATGCTCCTTTTTTTGTATTCGTAGGTGATGAATTAGATAGAGGGGTCCTGGAAGCGTAGAATGAACGAACGCTTTGAAACTAAGTTAGTTTATTTTGAAAAATCTAGTGTTCGAAAAATTCTCGACAATATATTTTTTTTTTGTGGGCAGCCTGAATTCGTCGTTACTTCTAACTAGCAAAAATTTGCATTTTGCCGCAAAATTACGACTTCAAAATTATCTCGAATCCCTTGGTTCTACTGTATATACAGTTTCTATGTCGTAGTTATAATTTACCAGTTTCATCTCTAACGAATTCGTCTTTTCTTTGTCTTCCAGTGCCGCCGACAAAGTGACAGTTCTTCAAAAAATAACTTTCGGCTTCTTCGGTTACTGTTTCTTTGCGTGGCTGGCATCTTCCATGTGGAAGCGAATGGAAAGGCGTAGTCGAACGCCTACCACGAATGGGAATGTTTTGCCAAGTACCGGTAATTGTGGACTTCGTGCCTCTGGAAGGGAGGACAATTTGGAGAAATTCATCAAAGTACACGGAGCGTTCCTCCGGTTCGGTTTGATCTTGGTGTACGGTTTTCTTTGTGACCGCACGACTTTCTTCATGAAGGACAACAAATATTTCACCAACTTGAACTTCTGGCTTCCGTTCGGCTACCTGTTCGCGCTAGGAATTTTTTTCACCGCGGAGTCGAAATTCACTCAGGTGAACGTTTAATTCCTATTCTACCTACTTTTGATTGTTTTCATCAAAATTGAGAACTTCCTTAGGTATTGCATCGTGACCAAACAGACGAATGGAAAGGCTGGATGCAACTAGTGATCCTCATTTACCACATGACTGGAGCTAGTCGAATACTTCCAATCTACATGCACATGCGAATCTTGGTCTCTGCTTATTTGTTTCTTTCGGGATTCGGTCACTTCACGTACTTCTTCAAAAAAGGCGACTTTGGGCTGTCCAGGTTCTTCCAAGTTAGTACTGTACATATATGTATGTATATAAACTGGTAAAAAATATGTAATTTTGGCTCGCTGTTTTTTAGGTGATGTTCAGGATGAACTTCTTGGTGTTCGGGCTGTGCCTGATGATGAACAGGCCGTTCCAATTTTATTATTTCGTACCACTGATCTCCTACTGGTATGCCGTCACGTACGTTGTGTTCGCCCTGCCGCCACGTGTTACCGCTATGTCCTGCGATGCCAAACCGTACAATTATCTTTACGTCGTCCTTAAGCTCGTCGCGATGCTGGCGTTTTCTTCCATTTTGTACACCTCTGAGGTTCGTATCACTTCAGTATTTTTCCGAAATTTCCAGAATTATTAAGGGGAGTCGAAAATGTTTCAAATGTTAATTACATCCTAAATGGAATGTGGGCGCGTGAAAACTCTTTCATGGATAGATAGAATTTAAGTTAGGGATGTGCCTAGTTGATCAGCTTGTTACAATCGTCCTGTCGATTTTTCCTTCTCGTAGGTATTTTTCGAGAGAATTTTTGTGACGAGACCGTGGAAAGCCTTGTTCGTGACTCCGGACGACGACATTCATGAATGGTGGTTCCGATGGTCCTTGGATCGTTATAGCATGGCGTATGGTGCCATTTTCGGTTTAGGCTACCATCTAGTACACAAGTACCATCTCGTCGACGATTCGAACCACAGCAACCTCTGGACGCGAGGATGGACGCTCGCTTTTACGCTGCTCGCCACACTCGGCATGGGTGCCTACACGACATTCACATTCTTCTGTCGCTCAAAGCCTGAGTGCAATGAAGTACATTCGTATGTAGTGTTTGTTCCCTTGCTTGCATTCGTTGTATTGCGAAATGTATCCGGCGTTCTGCGGACGAGGTACTCGACGATGTTCGCATGGTTCGGAAAGATTTCTCTGGAGCTATTCGTGGGTCAGTTCCACATGTGGCTGGCTGCCGATACACACGGTGTATTGGTGCTGGTTCCCAGTTATCCGGTTGCCAACGTGCTCGTGACCTCGTTCATTTTTGTTTGTCTCGCACATGAGATTCACCGTGTGACGGAGGTACTGACGCCCTTGCTTGTTCCGAATGACTGGAAGCCATTGCTGAGAAATTTTCTGATTTTCCTTTGCATATTGATTCCAATCGGAATCCAGGATGGGATGTTTTGAAGGCAATTTTTCCTATCATTCTTGAAAATTGATGGCATAGGGGAGGTGAACAGGTATTGCACATCGTGTTGCCGTTGGATGACGTGCAGTGTGTTCTGCGTTCAGTGTCACCTTTGGTTGTTCTGGTGTGCCATCTATTGCGAAAGCACCTGGAAATTAGTGCACCGCCAGAAGAAATCTGCGTTAATGGAGTACAAATTTCAAGTTTAGCTCTCGTTCGTGTAATGCCTTGGTTGCTTGTATCGATGAGGATAAATCTTGAAAATTCTTTTCCATCCACAAAATTACGAGTGTAAATGAAATTCCTTTTTTTTTCGTATTCGGTTATACCCGTTTCTCGACGGCATTTTATGATGCCGTTTTGCAAATGACGATAGTCAATTAACCTGGGGGTTTCTTTCCCATTAGTTACGAGCAGCTATTCTTTATGATATCCTTAGAACTGTCATTGCGTGAACGTCTGGGAACGTATCTTTCGAAGTAATCAGTTATATTTCTCGTACGTATGAACGGTTTTCTGCTGAGAGAAATTCAAGTTTTTCCCGGCATTCGTTTTTTTTTAAGGTGATGAGGGTCTTGTGTTCCAAGTTTGAAGCTCTTGAGAGAGAGTCCACATGCTGTGCACGAACAGCTTTTTTTCACCCTAGTCATCGAGAAGAAAATATTTAGGCGTTGCAAGAGCTTTGCGCGTGGTGTGGGAACCTTTCTCACGGTTCATAATTTAAATGTAGGGTTGTTCAAAGTTGATCCCAGTTTTATCGCGTTTGTTCGTGGGAACGGGCCGAGGGATCCCGATTGATGTCAGGTGCTGTGATGTTTCGCTGGCCGCACGATGTTTTTATTTTTTACAAGTCTTGCGGAATCATTATTTTTTCGCTTGATAGTTCGGGGTGTTTTCACGAATGCTTAAGTTTTTCTGTAAACGCACTGTGTTGCCGGTTGATTCTGAAATCGAAATTCGACGCGAATGAAGAAAAAAAAAGTAATACTCGTGGTTTTGTCGAAGTGTCGCGTCTCACCTGCGTTTTAAGATTTTTTTGGCCCTCTCGTCGTTGATACAATGGTTTTTCCATCACTATTGGTTTCATGGTTGGTGTGTCTTTTTGACGCAAGTGAACGTGATCGACTTTGTGTGCCATGAGTATAATACCTGTCGTGGGAATTACCGCAACACGATCACCAAATGGCATTCCATAAACTCCGTGTGTTTTATTTCCTCTCCTATCCTGGTACGATTCCTAACTGTGATTCATAAACATTTTTGATGCATTAGTAATTGATGCCGAGTAAATCAGAGGGTACGGGTTTTTGGGGTTCCTACAGGAGTGCCAATGTTGAAAGATTTTAGGAAAGATTTTCACGTTTTTATATCGTTGGGATTGCCGGAATTCTGCGATTATATGCCGCATTCAGATTTTGGACTTCCATTTGTGGTACGAAAACGGCCGCGGAAAATTTGGGTAGTTCTAGGGGATAAGAGCTCTAAACGCGCTTACAACAGCAATTTCGTTTAGTTCATGAAATTCAATCGAAATTCACTCGTATTTTAAAGAATATCAAGATTACTTTGGCGAGATGAAAAAAAAATGCTCGCAATGCTGAAATTACTGTACTAGAAAGAAGCCAGAAAATTTAGATAATTTTCCATGATGAGAGTTTGTCGGGCTTTACTTTTCTCTGACGATATTTTTCCATCTGCATGATCCTCAACAACTCGAGTGTGGTCCACTCTCCAATTTTTGAACGCATTTTAAAAGGGAAAATAATACGACTACAGTATAATTGCCCAAATACGAAATTTCTTCATCGTACATGGATCCTGAAAACACCTGTTTATATCCGACTTGCTGTGAGTCAAGTTCGTTCATCTTTTCTCCTCCGAGTTTTAAATTTGTCTGAGTTTTTGAAATTATTTTCTGTTCGAAGTGCGGGACTGACGAATTTACTGCGATACCAGAGCCGAGGAATGTGAGCATGGTTATGTGCTCAAATTAATCAGAAGTGACGTGCCGGAAATCCTCGATTTCTCCCAGCTTGAGATAAAAATGATTGCCACAATTATTTCGCAGCGGTTGTCTGCAACCGATCCTCGGAAGCGTAATGAACGTAATTGTTCCACCCATGTTGGACTGCTGTGATCCAGCGTTTGAAACCCGGAGGAACCCCTGTGTATCTTCCATCTTCGTTCCCAGTAGGTGAGCCTCTCCTTTTTTTATATTTTAAATATTTTAATGAGTTACCCCTTTGACGCAATGCTTGTCTCCCTCGTTGCCGTTATTGCTACGCGTTTCGCGATCGAATTAGCATGTCGCCTCATCAGCCCTGCGCGTTGCCGCCACTCGTTCAGCGGCGGCTCTTGGAGTTGCCGCCGGCTGCTGGCCGCTAGCAGGGAAAGTCGCACCATCGTGTCTCGTATGTTTCAGCCCTCGTTTCCCGTACGTGTGATATACTCTTTCGGAACTCTGAAGGAGTGGACGGATTTTAATGGAACTGCTATGTTAAATGACAAGCAGCGAGAGCCGACTTCATTCGGATGTCTCTTGAGTTCTTCGAATGTCTTGCTAGAACGCAATTCAAGGGATCCCAACTTGTTTGTAGAAAGAATTTCTTGGTAGAGATAGATTTTCGTTGTAGAGAGAACATTGACATCTGAGGGACCATACAATTTTTTGTAGACAGAGAATTTCGTTTTTGAGATAACAACACAATTCAAGACAACAGAAAAATTCGCTGTAGAGATAATTTGGATGTAGGGAGAATTTCATTGTAGAGAGAACAACTAAATTCAAGGAACCATTATAATTCGTTGTAGAGAGAATTTCGTTGCTGAGAACCTGTGTAACATGGGGATAAAACCTTTTGCCTTTATGGAACTAAAAATAAATTCTTTATTTAAAGAAAATTGCTGTGTTCAAGATCGTCGTTGATCGAGTACCCTGGTACTGTATTATAAAGCCTTTTATCTGGACCGGAGGCTGGTTATCTTTTTTTATAAGCGAAAATAGAAATATTGCGGATGATTGTGAACAAAAATTTCAACGAATTCGAAAACGTATGGATTAAATGAGCTTAAACAATAGTGTGTGCTACTGACATGTGTCAATCTCAAAACTTCTTATGGCTGGAAAATGAAACAAATATTTTTAAAATTTTTCTAAAATCGCAACGCAATTTTCTCGTGAACGAAAATGTACAATTGAAATGTATTTCCTGCTGATCAGAGCAAACCAAGAATTCCAACTGACCGAAGAATTGGTATAACGAAAGAACAGGAATCTGAAACTTTGGACTGATTCTTCAAAATAGTTCCACTAGAAGGATATAATTGAAGAGTATACATTTTTGAATTTCAAAAATGTTCAAAGACAACATACGATTTCGCAAGATATTAATATTATCTTTGGAAAAGGAAGGTTTTACACAGAGCGACGTCCAACGCGTAAAATGAGCGCGTCAAAAAAGTCGGCTGTCAATTTTTTCCTTGAATTGAATGTAGTAACGCAAAGCTCCAATTAAAGTCGAACTGTTTCACAGATAATTTTGGTTCAAGAGGACATTTTTCACCAACAAAAGCAGGATCCCAATAACCGACGGCTTTTTAATTTTTCATGAATTGCACCAGAAAACTTCAACACATTTTTCCATTTCTCCACACTTTCGGAAACTTTAATTGTTCAATTCATGTTTATGTAGTTTCAAATACTTCCTTTTATTTTGGGCAGCTGCGTCAGTTATATTTTGATCGCCGATGTCAAATTCATATTGGAGCATTTCTACAGGGTTTTCAAGCGACTTTGAACATTCAAGCTTCACGTATTAGGAAATGTAAATATTTCCCATGAATCGCCTGGCTTATTTTTCTCACTTTTCTAAAGAAAATGAGATACCGTTGAAGATCTCGTCCATGCTGACCATGCAGCATGTATAAGGGGATCTTTCTCAAGTCCTTGCGATTAAACTTATTGATATTTTGAACGACGATTCTCGATCAGCGATCGCCTTCCAATAATGCAAGAATCGGTGCAAATCACGAACGCTTCTTATTATTATACGAAATGGCTGTCCGCTCTGCTTTAAAATTGGAGACGGATCGTGAAGGTAGGTTCTTGAATATTACTAGTCTTGAATTATATTTTTGCAAAAATCCTTTTTCAGCTGTCATTCCGCATCATAATTTCAATTCGAATTTTTAAATGCGATTCAAGAAAACTAATTTAGTGCGTGGAATGAAGCAACTTCAAAAGCCACGTAACGGATCATTCCGCGACAAAAATCGGCGATTATCGGTTCCTCATTTGGAAGTTATTTTTTTCAATTTTAAAAATAAATTTCCATTCATGTTCGCCACTCGATGAGAAGCTCCGTGCTGAGCTTCCAAAGAAACACACCCGCTGGGTTCCTCGTTTTTTTCCTCTTTTTTTGTTTTAAACCCTCTTGTCGATGCAATGATGAACGGTTATTGGGTAACTTTTCGTTCGTGAGCTGACCATCTGAATTAGGGAAACTAGTTTGTCTTGTTTGCTTTAGGGCTTATGATGCCACATTGCATCAGAGTGGTCGAATATATGTACAGGCATTTCGCAGCCCAGTGAACTTTCAGTCCTCGTTGACTCGTCGTTGCAAAATATCCACATTAGATAAGGGAATTAGTTTATTGCTCTGATCGTCGTATCACAGAGGGGCACAAGAAGGAAGAAATATGACCAATAATATTGTTGCCTCGATCATAATTCCATCAGCGTTGCTCGGAATGCAAATCCTCGCGAGAAAACACGCCCTGTGGAATGTATTACGTTGATTGCTTCATGATTATATTTTTTTGCGAGAGCTAAAATTCATTCGTTGGCTTACCATCATGAACACTCGCAATTGCGACAGTCCCTGCTGATGTCAGGACATGACACGAGTTTTTATTGCACGACTTTATTTCGTTGCTCTGATTTTTTAAATGCTGCCGGATCGTAAAAGTTTTGCATATCGTTATTTGTCTGTCCAGTCAGCAAAATTAATAAGGAACGTTATCTGTTGCGAAGTGAGAAAACGCAGCCGCAGGCATCCGGAAGAGGCTGATTATGAACTGATGATGTAACGCGAAACCTGCTCTGCTCTTCATTTTCGTAAAATTATTTACAGGGTTCCTGATTGAAAATTTCTATACCTAATACTGTCTGAATACTGTGACTCATTCATGAAATAAGTCCTAACGCAAGCGTCCGAAGGCTATTAATATCGAATGCGCCGAACCGGAAATCAAGCCTCAATTGATTCGGCAAAGGATTATTTTAAACGAAAGAACTTTTAAATTGCGAATTTGATGCAATTCTCAAGAAAAAAGTGAACGCATGAAAAATAACAGGGATTTTATTCTGCCAGAGAACGAAAGATGTCGGGGGTCTTCAACCTCAGAAAAATGCGGGACTTCGATTCATGAAAAAATTCTGATTCGATTCTGAAAAAAGTAGCTCAACCTAACTCGTCTAATAAAATTTCCATAATATAGCATGAAGCGTATGTTAGAATTACGGAAGTTTCCGCTCAAGCCGACTTTCCTGCTTTAAAAAAAAAGTTTTTCCTTGCGCCGTTGCTGCAGTAATGTCTAACCTTATGAAATAACTGATTTGACCCAATGACTTCCCTAACATAGCACTTATTAAGAATAAAATTGCAAAAATAAATGAATAGCGTAAATCAATGCCAAAACAATCGACCGTGATACCTCAATCATTTTCTAATTATTTTCCTAATGCTACAGTGAAATTTACTCGTATTTTTGTTGCTAAAATTCAAATTACAGAACAAAAGAAAAGTAATGCTAGGTATACACTCTGAAGGTGATCCCTTCAAAGTCCTATGGTCGCAAGTCGGCTGCTTGCCCTGTCCATTAACACAAAATTCTTATGGTCAATCCTTCGTAAATTCTGCTCTTTTGTAATGCTTGTCTTAAAAAAAAGCACACTTCCTATTTATTTATACTGTACAATTGAACCTCTATAAATCAAACCTTTTTAAGTCAAATAGCTCCCCATGTCCTTTTTTTTTAAAAAGTCCCTCTCTGATGAATTCTCTGAAAATAAGGAATTCAAAACTTCCCTAACTCGAAGGCTTTCCCCCTGAAACCTTCACGAGTCGAATTTTCTGGAGGACTTTTGACTATTATTTTATTGACTCCAGAAAGAGAGAGAAAAAAAAGAAAATGTA